TGCGATGAGAGTACACGTGTCAGTAATCCAACGGCCGAAGGGTCACATCAGCCGGGTGGCACCGGCAGTGGTACGTTCACCGTATTGAATGCGGTTGGCGGATGTGACGTGGCATTAAATGCGGTGGTTGGTTGTCTCCAAAAGGAATCTTCGATGATTGAGCGTGTTTGGCCGAAGGCTCCCTGTGTAGCCGAGGGCTCCATGTGACCAAGGACCCCTGTGTAGCCGACGGCCTTGTGTGACCGAAGGCTTGGTTCAGCCGAAGGCTTCTCCGATGCCGAGGGCTTGATAATGCCGAAGGCTCATGTCTTTCGCCGTTTTCTCCCAGTAGCTTCTTATGTCAGAGAAGGCTGTCCTGTGAGTTTTTGGAGCCTTTGGCCAAGGAGGCCGAAGGCACCCCCCAGTGTGTAACCTGGGCTTCTTTGAGGCTTGGGCCGTTGCATTTGGGCCTGAGTTGTTCTCTGGGCTCAATGGACTTGTGTAGGAGAAGTAGGAGTCTATGGGCCGGGGGTTCCTGGGCCATATACTCCATCAGATTGAGGTTATGATACTTGAAATTTGAGATTAAATTACAATTTTGTGAGTACCCGGAGAAATGTGGATTTGGTGAGTGGTAATGACTATTAGTCTAATTCCACCAGGGATCTCCCAAAAGCGGAGCATCCCAGCTTAATTGTAGTAGTCGGTAGAAAAATCCCGACTACTCGGACTTTTTACTACCCGGAGAGCTTGGAATCTCTTTTAGGGGGTGTGCACACTTAAGGTAGGAGTTCAGCTTCCATTGGCTTTGAATGAGTTTGAATGATTGGATTATGTTTGGATTTAATTGGACTTGGATTCCATTGGTATTGAGGTGAATTGATTATGAGGATTTGAGGTGATTTGGATTATTTGGTTGGACTTGATAGAGGTGAATTGAATTATATTATATTAGATTATTTGAGTGTGTTATATTTTTTTTTGGATTGGGTTGAATTTGAGGTGGTTGGAGTTATTAAATTATTTATGGATTTCCAAAGTAATACTTTTGGCTTTGATTAAATATATGTACCTATATTTGGAATAATATTATTTTACATGTGATTTGTGATGAGAAGTTTGTATAAAGTGTTTCATAAGGTTTCCTCCCAAAGGTTTTCACAAAATGATATATATGTATCAAACATGATTATTTTACAGGGTTGGGTGGGCCTTACTTAGCATTTCCAGCTAATTTTTGTTTCTTTGTGTTTTTCTTTATGTACTCTATTTGTGCAGGAATTGAGGATCATGTTGAAGTTGATTTCGAGAGCTTCCGCTAGAACACATAGACTAAAGTGATTGAGTAATTTATTTTAGTCTTAATTTTAAAGAATTGTAGTAAAACAATTAATTATGGAAATTGTAATTTGGTGGTGGTGGATAGCCTGTGCACTCAGTTATGTGAGAACCGAGTGTGGCGGTAACGCCCCGGTTTCCCTTTGAATTTTCCGCTGCAAGACTCTGATGTTTTCGAATAAATCATTATTTACTTTGAATAAATCATTATTAAAATGTATTTTTGGGTGGGAAATTTGGGGGTGTTACAGGGATGGACTTTCAAAACGCATATGGGCCTACGGGCCGACTACTTGACTTTATATATAAAGTAAGTAGGGGTGGTTCGGTACGGTATACCGAAGATTTTATCTCATACCTTTACCATACCGTAAACTTTCGGTATGCAAAAATACATACCGTTACCATACCTAAATTTCGGTATACCTTGTTTCGGTATACCAAAATTTCGGTACGGTAAGCTACAGTATCGGTAAATTATCATGATTTAATATCAAATTATTATATATCAAATGAAATATAGAAAATCAGTATTAATAGTGATATACTAAAATTATTAATGAAATTAATTATAAAATACCAATGATAACCTATTTGTGTTCTATTCAATTTTGAACAAAAAAATATTATAAATATGTACGGATACTTCAACACATGATATATGAAGATAACACATTCTGCTAAAATAATAATTTAAACAACATAAATATATTTGAAATAACATCGATCTCCAACAAAAAGTATAAATAATTCAAGAAACATGGATATAAATTCATTATCCTTGAATTAATGTTGTGTTTCTAGTTATTTTTATAATTTTAAAGAAATTATTGGCTTGGAATTACGGCATGACGATATAACGGTATACCGTTTATTTCCAAAATATATACCGATACCATACCGAAGTAATTCGGTACGGTATTATACCGTACCAAAAGTGTCGGTATACCAAACATTTCGGTAAATTCGGTATTTTTCGATATGGTAAGTCCGGTTTACCGAAATTTCGGTATTTTTCCCCACCCCTAAAAGTAAGTATATTTTCAAAGAGGGTAACCAAGGGTTATGGCCTATAATATAATATCACTCTATTTGAGGGTCTTGGAAATTGAAACATTGATTATACTTAGCATAGTTGTCATTGTACTTGTCAAATGCTTCCAAGTACTGACCTCCCCTTCACGGGGGAGGCCACCTCACAGTTTCAGGTAGAACTTGAGGGTTGCTACCATTGCCTGTTGCTCGGGGAGATCCAAGGAGCGGAGACGTGGTTCGTGCTTCCTCCGTATCCGTTTTAAAAACAATTATATTTAATGCTCATGGATATTATTTTCTGAATAATTATTTGGGGGCTTGTATGCCCATGTTTGCCACGTGTGGCTTGAACACTTGTATAAATGTTTCCGCTGCTTTAAATGAATCTTTTACATTATGTTTGATTATGGATGTACTATGTGTGAATGATATTCAAGACGCCTAGTATAGTATGGATGAGTTGGACTACGGTTGACTATTCGTACTGTACGGCGGGTTGTTGACGTGTCCGGTAGGTCCAGGGCGTGACAATACACACACACACACATATACATTAGTAATCCCATTTATGATATATATACATATACTCGTATATTCTACAACAACAACAACATCCAAGCCTTAGTCCCAAAAGATATTGGGGTCGGCTAACATGAATCAATACATGATCACACCACCAAAAGGAAAAGAAAGAAAATAAAGATAAAAAATAAGCTATTATAAAAAATATATTATAAAAGGGGATGAATATACTTAAAAATGATAAAATAAAAAGGATAAAAATAATGTTTATATATAAGGATAAAAGAATAACAAACAAGAAGAAAAAAGATGAGGGGAAAAATAATAATATGAGATCACTCCTCCACACAAATACCCGCTCTCCACTTTGCTCTCTCCAAAGCCATACACTCATCCAATCCAAGAAGAAGCATATCACTTCGGACTACCCTAACCCACGTGTGTTTGAGTCTTCCTCTCCCTCTCTTCCCTGCCTCTTCTCCACACATCTCAACACGTCTGACAGGTGCATCATCCGGTCTTCTACGCACATGACCAAACCACCGTAAGCGAGACTCCCGCATCTTGTCTTGAATAGGTGCTACTCCCACCTTTTGTTTGATTGTCTCATTTCTCACGTGGTCCTTCCTAGTATGCCCACACATCGAACACAACATGTGCATCTCTATCACACTCATCTTTTGGATGTGACCTTGTTTCACCGCCCAACACTCTACGCCATACAACAATGCAGGCCTAATTGATGTCCTATGAAATTTACCCTTCAGTCTGATCGGCATACCTCTATCACATAGAAATCCTGACGCACTCTTCCACTTCATCCACCCTGTTCTGATTCTATGGGATTCATCTACTTTACTTTCTCAACACACTCTAGTTTCATTTAGAGTTTGCAAATTTGTAGAGAGATTTGGAGTTGTAGTTTCTGAATACAGAATATAATTTCATTATCTAGTATCTACAACAAGATTTAACCTTTCTAACGATCAACCTTAAAAACCTTAGAATTACAAAATATACACACACCCTTAAAAGGCCAGATAAGTATATATTTTACCGGCTCCATCAGCAATAGCACTCTTAATTAAAGTAGTGGTGAGGTTTTTAATTCGCCATTGTCGTTGATGTATCCATTTAGAGCCGTCTGATCAATTTGGAGGCCCCGATTCCAAATGACAAATTAAGGTCCCCCTTTGGAATACCAAATTTTACAATGAAATACAAATAGACTAGACAATTCAATGAAATATAAATTTTATGATGTTTAAAGTACACAAAATAGAGAATCTAAACATTATATACCTTTTGGAATCTTGAATAATACTTCGTACATAACATCTAGAAAAATCAACATATACCAAATACTACATTTTAAATTTTCAAAGGCCCATTACAAGAGTGGGTCCCGGTTCCAAACACATATTGCATCTCCTAAAAGACGATCATGTCTTCATTTAATCTAGGGAAAAATAATTAAAATACCCCAAACTTTGACGGAGTGTTAGGTAAGCAACCCTAACTTGCACATTCAATTTAAATACCTCAAACTTTATATAAAAAATCATTTTTGCACCATTGTCATGTATTATTTCGTTCAAAAATGTAAATTTAAAAAGTTAATTGCATAATTTAAAATATTTTAGGATTCATGAAGACACAATTAACATTTTAAACTTCGATTGAGAAATAAACTATGTTACGCCCAATCTATATAATTGCAATATTTTTAATTTACTATTTTAAATTATGCAATAAGTAACTCCATAGATTTATATTTATATAAAGTTTGAGGTATTTGAATTACATATACAAGTTTGGGATGTTCATCTCACACCTTTTGAAAGTTTGAGATATTTTAATTTAAAAAAAAGTAAATCATACGTAATAAATCTCTCCGATTCAACTGCGTACGTATGTAGTGGAGAATGACTTTCCTATTGTAGTACCAACATAGCAACATGGCTTATATTGATCAGGGAATAGTATGGGCAGTGTATTAATTAAACATTTAATATCATCTCATATAGTACATAAATGAATTGAAAAACCTCTTCTAATATTCTCTATTCGGGTGAAGCATAATATATTGCAGTACCAAGTATGGAGTATGATTTATGCGTGCATTTATGGATACTCATAATTACTAAAGCAGCTCAATAAATCCATTATCTCCATCCCCTAGTTATATAGAGTCTACGTCCGTGTTTCAATTCTCATTCAGTCTTCGATTAATTCTCTAGCAGTCCAGCCTTCTAACTTTCGTTATTCGTTTTGCCTTGATTGAATGGTAACCTCTATCTCTAGCTATTTCTTTTTAATGTTTTCTACTCCAATTTTTCTCTTCATTTTGAGTTCTTTCCTTCATAAAATCGTCACATATATCTTTCGTCTCTGTACTTTTTATCCTTGTACAGTTGTACTACTCAGATTTTACAATATTATGATTACGTTAAACTGTTTTATTTTGTAATGTTTCTTCTAGGATAAAATGTTACGTTTCATACATATGTTTTTGTTATTTTTATTATATCTTGTCCCCCTAGTATTTATACGAAACAAATAAAATGCTATTTTTATTATATCTTTGAGCTTTATACGAAGTAATTTAATATGACCGCCCAAGTAATATACATTCACACAAACACATGCACATCATTTGTGTCCAACGAAATTAGCCTGTTTATGATACTTCATGGACTTCTAGCGGAAATAATTAAGTGCCGGTTTGGTGTGACATTTTTATTTTCTTTTTTATCAATTTTATTTTCCTTTTTATCATTTTTATTTAGTGATGTGGTTTACTTTTTACCGTTGTAGGAGATGTCAACGATAATGCTCTACTGCTTCCTTCTTTGCGCTGCTCTCATTGTTGACCCATCAAAGGCTGACAAAAATGTTAGCAAGACATTGATACCGAGCGCCGTTGCTGAAGGAGCCGGTAAAATACTTGATCATTTATGAATGTTCATAAATTTTGAACAAGCTTAGCATTCTTATATGCTTAGTTAATTGGGTTTTATGTATAAGCACATACATATATTGAAACAAGTTATAGTCATGTTTTCACAATGTTAGAGTATTTTTATTTCATTAGGGGTCATGGGAGGGTAAGATCGAAACTCTATATATGTGTATATATATACGTTAGTAATTTCACTTATGATATATACAGAGTACAAACACACACATATACTCGAAACTCTATAATTGAAAGATTTATTGTGCTTATTATAGTGTGTTTGGACGGAAGCCCGCCCGCGTACCATTATGATGCAGGCAAAGGTTCCGGTGCACGAAACTGGCTGGTCCATTTGGGAGTGAGTTTACTCTATACTAGCATCAATTATATATCAAATGTTAATTAATGGAAATTTTTAAATATTACAATAGCTTTCTTCTTTTGAACTTTATTCTAAAATAACATACTGAGTTTTTTTTCTTCGCATGGCATGTCTGTTTTAGTGGATTGAAAAGTTTAGTTCATTGTGCCAAATTAAGAAATTTGAAGTACACCCATAAATGCACCACGCAGTATTTCCACACGCATAGTTATGATTATGATCATTAGTAGTAACTCAAGCTGTATCATTTAGTGATATGTCTGGCAGCCCATCAGCTCCATTTTCGCAATTGTACATGTAGTAATTGCTCTTTTAATTTGTACTGTCATAATTTAATTATTACTAAAATTAAGATGTACATAAAAAAGTTAACCTAGAGACCATCATTGCAATTAATCTAATCTAATTAATAAAGATTTTTCATTTAATTAAAGATTTTTCAGGGTCGTCCGATCCCAATTTTAATTTCTGGATGCAAAACTGATATAGAGTTTACGTATATTACCCTTTCTTACCATTTAAAGCGAAATTATCTCAGTTTCATTTTCACAATTGTGCATGTAGTAATTGTTCTTTTAATTTGTACTGTCATAATTTAATTACTAAAATTATAAGCACAATAAGAAGTACATAAAATTGTTAACCTAGAGACCTACTGTCATTGCATTTAATTAATAAAGCCTTTTCATTTAATTAAAGCTGACCATATTTTCAGGGTCGCTATTTTAATTTGTGGATGCAAAATGTTGGGATTGGAAAATTCTTCTATTCAATATCAAGAACAGAATTACAATAGGAGGAGCAAACTCTCACACTCAACTATTACAAAAAACCAATCCTCACCAATACACTTCTACTCTAAGTGTATTTCACTCTTCACACACTTTTCTCACTTTCTAAACTGATGATATGAACAACAATAGAACACTCTATTTATAGGGCTGGTTTGGAGACATGAGGAAGTTGCATCCAAGCTTCCTAGTTATCTCCATATCTTCTCCCACACCTATTTGTTGGAGAGCTCCTTCCATGAAGGTGCCTCCATGTTAAGGTGTCTCTTGGCAACCTCCAAGAAAGAAGGTGGAAGATACCTACAAATCTCCCCCTCCACCTTTTTCTTTATTTCTCTCGTTCCTGCAATGCTCGCAGGCTCCCCCTCGCTAACAAGTATCCATTCGGATGTGGAATACTTTCTCTGTGGAACTATGCCTCGCATAGAACGTCGAACATGAATACCTTCAGCTTCGTCTTCAGATGAAGGCTCCCCCTGCTGAGGAATATCATCACTGTGAGTATCATCATCACCTACTGAACCATCACTCTCTTGTTCAGTAGTATCATGCATCTCCTCGTCGCTGAGAGGAATGTTTGATGATACATGCACTTCGTCTTCTGGAGTATGTTGTTGGCGGATTATTGGAACACACCCATGAAACTCGTTTTCATGAAATACAACATCTCTGCTTCGTACAACTTTCTTCACTTCGGGATCCCACAACCGGTATCCGAATTCTTCATCACCATACCCGATGAAGATGCATGGGTTTGACTTGAGATCCAGCTTCTGTCTCAACTCCTTGGACACATGTGCAAATGCCTTGCACCCGAACACTTTTAAGTGAGAGTAAGAAACATCTCTTCTTGACCATTTCTTCTCTGGCACTTCAAAGTTTAAAGGAACAGAAGGTGACCTGTTTATAAGATAACAAGCTGTCAGCAAAGCTTCACCCCAGAATGGCTTAGGTAGTTTAGCCATACTCAGCATGCAGCGAACTTTCTCCATAATGGTCCGATTCATTCTTTCGGCTACACCATTGTGCTGTGGAGTTCGTGGAACCGTCTTCTCATGTCTGATTCCATATGCTGCGCAATATGCTGAGAACTCCCGAGAAGTGTACTCTCCTCCATTGTCTGAACGCAGGCACTTCAGCTTCTTCCCTGTTTCTCTTTCTACCATCGCATGAAATAATTTGAAGCGATCAAACACTTGATCCTTACTCTTCAAACAATAAGCCCATACCTTTCGTGATGCATCATCAATGAATGTCACGAAATATCTGCTTCCTCCAAGTGACTCCTCTTCAATGGGTCCGCATACATCAGAGTGTACAAGACTGAGTAACTCTGAATGGTTCTTCCTGGTAGAACTGAAGGAAACCTTGTGTTGTTTCCCGAATAGACAGTGTTCGCATGGATCTAGGGCAACACCTTTGCCCATGGAAATGACTTCCTTCTTTGCAAGAGTTGTCAATCCCTTCACGCTCAAGTGGCCTAGCCTCCGGTGCCACAAGTTTGGTGATATCTCTTCTTCAACAGCATTAAGACTTGGATGACACAACTTTGCATGAGTTTTATAAAGAGTACCACAAATATGGCCTCTTGCAACAACCAAGGAACCTTTAGATAACTTCCACGTACCTTCTTTGAATCGGTTAAGATATCCTTGCTGATCCAGAGCTGTACCGGAGATAAGATTCAATCTAAGATCCGGAACATGTCGAACATCTTTCAACACAAGTGCGCATCCGACATTGGTTGTTATGTGCACATCACCAATGCCAACAATCTTCGAGAAACTGGTGTTTCCCATCTTCACAGCTCCAAAGTCCCCGGACTTATAAGATGTGAATAAATTCTGGTGTGGAGTGGCGTGAAATGATGCGGCTGTATCAATCACCCACTCAACATCATGAGTACCTACGTGTAAACATTCTTGTTCACCATGTGTAACAAGACACACGTCTGATGACAAACTAACCATGGTCTCACCATCATCTTGGCTAGTATTTTGACTCGTCTGTGGCTGCTCTCGTAGAAACTTTCTACAATCTCTTTTTCTGTGCCCATAATTACTACAGTAATTGCAATATCCTTCAAACCAAGTACTGTTTTCAAAGGACATACCTCTCTCTTGTGATCTGCCGCGAACTTGAGAATTTCCTCTGTTTTGACCTTGGCCTCTACCTCGACCTCGAGTTCTTCCTCCATTTCTGCCTCCCCCTCGTCTGCTGGTTTCTGACACGAAGGCATATGATTGTTCAGTCCCGGCTTCTTTTCTTCGGGCTTCTTCATTCATAAGGGCATCTGTGACCATCTGCATAGTCACTTTGCCATTGGGAGCAGAATTGCTGAGAGTGACAACAAGAGTCTCCCAGCTGTCAGGTAGTGTAACGCCCCTCTCAGGGTGAAAGGAATCGTTACACTAACTTACTACTTAAAAAAAATAACTGCAATTAACGGCCGTCTATTTAAGAAAATAACCCTGATAAAATCTCAAATATAACTAAAATATAGCTCCAAATAAAAACTCAATAAAATCTAGTTATCACCAGCAAATGTGATAACCACCTGGATCCAGGAATTTGCTAAAACTTCAAATCCTCAAATAAAAATAAAGTAATATAAATCACTTTATTATAACACTGAAATACTGAAACCAAATATTATCTAGCTAGAAGCCGCCAAGGTCGTTCCCGTTAACTCATCTTGGCACGCGTTCCACTCCCTCGTCATCTTCCTAGGCCTTGGCCTTACCCTTAGTATCTGTACATGCGAAGAAAGAAAACTGATAAGCTTTACGCTTAGTAAGTCACTATGGCTCCACAAAAATATCTAGAAGTCTAGGCCAATTTATCAATAGATAAATTTAGGCTATAAGCATGCACTGCACAAATAACTAACACATAACTTCTCAAACATATTCTGAGGGAGATCTCAAAACGAAAATATTTTCTAAAATAATTTCTCAAAAATTTCTGGAGAGATCTCAAAATTTCTTTCTCAAACATATCTGTAAAACTTTCAGAAAGAGATCTCAAAACAACTTTCTGTAAAACTTTCTGAAAGAGATCTCATAAACTTTCTATAAACTCTTTGTGGCTAATTTTAACTGTGGGCCCGTGATATGTACTCAATGGCGCCAATCCGACAGCTCAGGGGAGCGACCCACTAAACATATCGGACTATCTAAAACTGCTAATCTGAGGGATCTAGTTCCCGAGTACATATCACTTAATCTTTCACTTTAAGTATTAGTTCTTTTTTATGGTGACATTTGACTAAAAAAAACATCATTAAATCTGGAAACTAAAGTACTAACAAATCTTGACTATGCCAGATAATAAACATTACTTAATCTAGCAATAAAATAACTCATCACATAATTCACATAGTTCACATAATAGCAAATAGTCTAAAATTATCTATTAAAAATCAACCAGACTTCCTTCTTGCATTTGGTTGAACAAACATGTACAGGTGGTAGTGAACTTACCTGTTAGTAGCTGAACTCAAAATACTCAGATAAGTGTGGCACCTTGATAACGTCTCCCGGTAAGCTCTTCTCTTTAATCTTTAATTAAATGAATTGCAAATTAGAAATTTCCCTATTTTAATCATTACCCAAAATAATAATAATAATAATAAGTCCTCTGGTTTGAAATTACCCATAGGAGAGAATCTGATATTCTTCTTTGAAATTACCCATAGGAGAGAATCTGATATTCTTCTTGGGAGTTTTTGCTTTAAATATTCTGAAGCTAAAACTTTAAGTGATAGAATTTTACCACTTCGTAGAATTAGAATTTTGAAGCAGGAATGAAGTTGGCTGGGAACTAAGCGCAGGAACTGAAAACGAATACAAAAATCCCAGACTGGAGTGCTGCTCTAAACTTTCTTTTCTTTTATATAGCTTCTACGGATAACTAAAAGAAAATATAAATTTTAAAACTTGGAAACCTTTATGCAGCAACCCCTTTTTAAAATTAAATTTCAAATACACTCTTCTGCATCTTTTGGCTTATGAAAGTGTAAGTCAGAACTAAGATTTATTGAAGGCTTATTGATTTTAACTAAAATTTACAGGTTACACTTTGAGGAATGGAAATAGTTATCCTTGATGACAAACAGAAGCTGATTAAACCTCATAATTTCAGGACCATAGAAAGTTAGGAAAATCCCAACTCCAATAACAATTTTAGCAAGAACTGGAAGCAGCATGCATGAACATATAGAAGAAGCTATTGTCCAATTTAAAACCTCAATCATAAAGAAAGAAACTGCCCATGATTTAAAATAGATAAAACCCAGCCTCCCAAAAGCAATCTGACCTGACCGCACTAAAAGAAAAACATAACTATCCAACCCAAATCCAGTAATACGAGTTAAGGAGCGAAATTTAACATAGTGGGAAAAGAATTCAGATTACCTTGTTAAAAGATGCACGAATGATAGGATTAAAGCTTTGGCCAACAATTGAAGAGTTGGAGAGAAATTTCCAGGGTGACTCGATAAGAAAATTTTCAGGCTACTAAAGGAGAGAGCCGATTGAGGGTTTAGGAGAGTCTATACTTAAAGTTTACTATGAGGATCTTCTTAAGCATATCTCGTTAGGGATTTCTAGGTAAAATATTAATTCGGGCCAAGATAAACTGATTTGGGTCTCTTAGTCCTTTAAGATATACTTGTGACCCAACTGAATATTCATATTTTCCCTTTCAATAATATACTAATTAGATATTAAAATAGTATTTATTTCTTCGATTAAAATTTTTATGAGCTTATCGGTCAACGTTACCTGCCAACAAACAAATCATGGAAAAAGAATATATCACATTATTCACACAAGTAACTTGTTTAGCTGACTAAAATAAATAATAATGATTAATATAACTAGATCGCTAAAATTGGGGTGTTACAGGTAGAGAGCTCAAGAGTAGTATCGCCTGTTCTTCATCTTTGAGAACCCATCCGGTGGTGCTCAACTGATTCACAAGATCCTGGAATTGACTGGTGTGTTCTGACACCGAAATACCTCCTCGTAATTTGTGGTTTACTAATCGCCTCATTAGTAAAGTCTTATTTCGTGCGGTTTTTGCTTGATACATGCTACCAAGCTTCTCCCATAGTGTGTAAGCACTTTGTTCTTGCGCAACATGGTGGAACACACTATGATCAATCCACTGTCGAATTTGTGCGACAGTTTTTCTATTCATTTTTGTCCATTCTTCATCCGTCTTTTTATCCGGTTTCACGCCATTATTATCAAGAGGATCAGCTAAATCCCTCAAATTTAGCAAATCCTCCATCCGAGGCTTCCACATATTGTAATTTGTGGAAGTGAGCGCAATCATGGTGTCCGATGATGATTTATCCATAATAAAACGCTCAAAATATCTCGTACCTTATTTTCGGAGCCGAATTTGGACAAACGGAGCTCACCGTTGGATCCGGAATGGCCGAAAATGGTAGGAACCGGTCTGACCTTGTCCAAAACCGGTCCGAAAATGGGTGAACCGGCCTCCACAAGTACGAACCGGTTCGGTCCGGTTCAGGCAGCAGCCCAGTGAGCAGACCAGCAGGCGGATGACGTGGCAACAGCTGGCTCTGCGCTGGCGCTGACGTGGCGCCACGTGTCGCTGACGTGGCGCTGACGTGGCACCTAGAGATGGCTTGCACGGATGACGTGGCGGATGACGTGGCGCTTACTTGGGATGACGTGGCGCTTACTTGGGCTGACGTGGCGCTGCCGTGGCGGCTGACGTGGCTCGTCTTCTTCCTCTGGACTGCGTGATGACGCAATGATGACGCAGGCAGTTTTCCGGCGCGTTTGGGCGGCGCGTACGGCCTCTTCCGGTGGCCAAAAAATTCCCAAAAAATACCAGATTTCTCGTCTCGACGAGACGAATCTAATGGTATGATCAGATCGTGATTCCGAGCAACTTGAAAAATCACGATTTTCTAACCTGTAGAAATTTATCTGAAAATGAGAAAACAGTGTATGAAAACTCAACCTCGCTCTGATACCACTTGTTGGGATTGGAAAATTCTTCTATTCAATATCAAGAACAGAATTACAATAGGAGGAGCAAACTCTCACACTCAACTATTACAAAAAACCAATCCTCACCAATACACTTCTACTCTAAGTGTATTTCACTCTTCACACACTTTTCTCACTTTCTAAACTGATGATATGAACAACAATAGAACACTCTATTTATAGGGCTGGTTTGGAGACATGAGGAAGTTGCATCCAAGCTTCCTAGTTATCTCCATATCTTCTCCCACACCTATTTGTTGGAGAGCTCCTTCCATGAAGGTGCCTCCATGTTAAGGTGTCTCTTGGCAACCTCCAAGAAAGAAGGTGGAAGATACCTACACAAAACTCATATGGAGTTTACGTATAGTATATACTTGTATATTACTTTTTCTTACAATTGAAAGCGGAATTATCTCAGTTTCAAAAATTAAATATTCAATTTAATTTTTATTTCCCTGATTCGGTTATACAACTAGCTGTTACGTCATCATTATTTAAAGTTTACATAAGAAGCAGCCATAGGCAATAGATTTAAAACCAACAGTTTTTTTTTTTAACAAATGAGAGCTATCATGCATCCACTCTAGAACCCATAGATTTCTTGTTCCAATCAATGCGTTAATATGCTTTCAATTCCACCAATGATATAACATTGTTTTGAGGCAATTTTGTATTAAAAATATAATTCCACTGGTCGCTTCATGCATTTTACATTATACGGAGTAATTAATAACTTGTTTTGTTTTAAATACTTTGTGACGAAACAAATGTGCATAGAGTGTCCGCATGAGTTTCTTTTCCTTGGCAATATAAGTTTATTCTTCCGTATGTAATTTATATATACACTAATACACATTTTGTTTCATTTAATTAAGTCAATGCCACCTATAATACGGAGTATTTAAATTCAGTTAAAGCTCATTAGCTCATATATATATATCACATGGTCATTTATTTAGGGAGGAGGGTGGTGTTTAAACACCACCATATACGAAAATATGAAAAATGCCTTTGCTGAAAGCTGCAGTACTCGTGCCACGTCCAAAATGGGATCTTCTTTCCTCATGACTGATTTCCCATTTGAAGGGATATTTTCTGATGAAAAAAATAAATCTTATTTTTACAATTGGAATCGTGTCGTCGTGGAATACTGTGACGGCGGTTCATTCTCAGGAGATGTGGATCAACCCGATCCGGTATGTATTCTATTTAATTTGTTTCTTTCAATTATCTACAATAATATTTCCATCAATTTAATGAATTCACTTTTAACTTCCGATTAGGTAACAAAGCTTTTCTATAGAGGCGCCCGGATTTACAGAGTTGTGATGAATGAGTTAATGGCTAAAGGCATGAAAGATGCCGAAAATGTAAAATTTAATAACTACTATACGCCATATGTGAATTAATCAATCAAAATCTTATTTTTAAATTTATTTTACATGCATCTTAATTGTTTTACAACAGGTGATCCTTGCCGGAGGTTCCGCCGGTGGAATAGGTGCCATGATCCATTGCGATCATTTTAGAAGCCTATTTCACCCGACAGTGAACGTCAAGTGTTATATTGATAGCTCTTTGTTCTTAAAACTGTAAGCGTAGACATACAATTTGTTTGTACATACTTATAATTCAGAAATTATATTTATTTATTAATTTATTTGTGTTTCAAATTTTGCTATTAGCAGGAAGGATCCCAAGCGTGCCATGTTTTTCAAGACTATATTTGGCACGGTTGTTGAACTACAGGTAATTAATTAAATTGAAATAATTGTTAATTATTGACCAAAATACAGTTAAAGTTCTAAAATAAAATTATACTAGGATACGGTTTGTTGATCAAATAAGAGTTATTTAAGGAGTAGGATTTTTAGAAAATAATTTAGTTAAAGGAGTTTTGACAAAATTAATACTAAACAATAACCTATGGGCAAAAAAAGTGTCTTTTTTCAAAATTTTCCAACATAGTGATGACTAATATCACAAATATACCCCTCCAGTTACGGTGACCAACTTGCGGTGACAATTGAAAATCCCAGTGACATTCGGTTTTGTATTGACACCTAGATAATAGTGACATGTACCACCGCCCAACAATTGCAGCGTAGTTTTTTGTTCAAACGAGATCTAGTCTTATTTTTGTCATTTTCAAAGTAAAAATCATATTTTTGTCATTCTTTCTTGATTAAAACTTTCCAAAATAAGTGTAAATATGTCTTTTTTGCGAATAAAATCACTATTGTCATGCTTATGATTTATGAATTTCTTCATTGTTTTAGTCTTACTTAGATAAGTTAATCGATATAGCGGTATTGTTAAAAAGAAACTAAATTAGGCTAAATAGGAACAAAAACGTAAGAGAATTTCAAAATAGGAAATCAATATTTTTAATTCCTGAATAAGGGAAGAAACTTATTTCTATTTTAGAAAAAATCATGACACTCTTATTTTAAAATTTTCTCATTGTGATATCATACGAGAGTAGTTAAATTAAATTCTGGAATATTGCATGGCTTGCAGCAAAGCGCCAAGGCATTGCCGGCAGAATGCATATCGGAACGAAGCCCATCAGCGGTACATATTATTTAAAAGAAATTGATCTAATTAGGACTAAAACATAGTCAATACTCCAAATTAGGACTTAATGTTTTAAATTTCCTAAATAGGACTCCCTGTTACCATTTTACCCTTAGGAATTCTGCGTCTTTGTCTTCCGCATCGAACCCCAAGTACGTCATGTGTCTCCTAATCCAATTTCCCCAGGCCAGCCAGTTCTCTCCCTTACCTGGGAATCGAACTCACAACTAATCTACAAATTAAACCTTCACAAAGTGTAGTAATTATACTTTACCATCACGAACACTTGTCCAGATCTCTCTCATGCCATGTCCGTAGGTTATCTGCGCTTTGATGTTCCTCTAGCTGCTCGCTCAAAATATCCAGGTAAGTGTTTCTTTTTCTTCTTCTTCTCCTCCTCCTCCTTCTCCCTCTTCTACTTCTCCTTCTCCTACTTCTCATCATCTTCATCCTCTATTTTGTTTGAATTTGAATTTTATTTATTTATTAATTTTGATTGCTCTGGAATTTAAGAATGCCATAAATTAATAATATTTACAAAAATGTCACTTTTAAGGCATTGCACCTATTAAGATGACAATATTATTTTGAAATTACACAACTCTAGAATGTCATATTTTTGCACGTTTGACAAAACAATGTCAATTTTATGTCATTTACTTTAAAAAGATGACATTTTTCTTACTGAACTTTTTTTCCTTTTTCTTCCAATATTTTGAATTTTTTATCTATCCGTAATTAGAAGAATTGTCACTTTAATAACATTCTATATATCTATCAAGATGTCTATATTAACTCTCAAACTACAAAATTTTGAATGACATGTTTTTGTCCGATTTGACAAACAAATGTCATTTTTATGCCACTAATAAGATGACATTTTAAGTGGTTTGCAGGAAAATGTCATCTTGATAAGAGTACTGACATAAATTTAAAATGGCATTTTCATAACCAATAATTACAACATTTTCAGATTTTGAAAGTGACATTTTTCTTATAATCACTTATGGGGCATTCTCAAAATCAAAATTGATAATAAATAATTAAAAATTAAAAATTAAAAAAGTCATGATTTTTATACGAAAATGACATTATTGTGTTATTTCTGACAGAAGGTGACAATCTCAGAGAAGAGAGGAAACGAATTAGCCGGAGAGTTGGGCTCATGGATGGGTGGTGGGCTGGTGGCGGTGGTTTGCTTGAAGGGTGTCAGCCTCAGGAAAGAGCAATAAAAAGGAATGAATGCAGTGCTTGTTGGTAAAGGATGTATATCTGATAGGCCACTGCAGGATGTCTTCGGCACGGCTATGCGGATTGCTGATGGCCTGCGATGCGGATGACAAAATCATTAAGGGTAGTTTTGTCAGATTAGATCTAATTAGTCCTATTTTTGATCAATAAAACATAGTGGTCCTATTTTTACAATTCTACTTTGTTTTAGTCCTATTTAGGAAAATCTCTCATTATTTAAAGACGTTGTGCTGTATATGAGTACAAAATGTTTGAGAATATCAAAATATACTATGGAATTATTTTATAAATAGGATTAATTATTGGTAAGAATGAAAAGAACAAACAATAACCAATATACTGTCACTCATGGTAGTATACTAGCTCCTATTTTTGAACCCCGATAAGGCCAAAATATGGCAATAAATTTTCTTGATGATAGTAATAAGTAATAACCCGTGTTTAAGGAAAAACATTTATTAACCTTATAGGAAGAGAATTAATCAGATATGCAATAGAACTACTAGAACTATACTCTTTTTATTCTCAAAAAATATGTAGTACTAATATATGTCCAGCCGTCCCGGCCATCTTCATATTCTATACCTTCCACATTCCCAATATATCCATTGAAACCTATTTTATTAATTAAAAAATGATAGTTTATTTATAATAAAAATATAAAACTAAGAAAAATATTTATTTAAATTAATAATAAAAATGTTAAAATATAAAATAAAATAAAAACAAAAATAAAATAAAAAATAAAGATAAATAAATAACTTGAAAATATTGTAAAAATTTTAAAAAATATGTAGGCCTTTTCCACTACATCTTTTTGCATCTCCCACCACCGTCACTTCAAAATCTCCGATTGCTGAAAAAAATGGAGCCACCTTTTGTAAAAATACACATTTATCAAACTTTTCTTTCAAAAATGCTACCTTAATGACATTTCACTGGTGGATAAATCATGATACGCGGCGCTTTTTTGGGGGGTCGTGGATCAGTGGTGGTGGTGATGCTAGAAGGTGGTTGAGGTGGTGATTGTGCTGGAAGGTGGCCGAGGTGGTTGAGGTCGTGGTGTTGGTGCTTTTTGTTTTTTATTTATTCTTTTACGGTTATTATTATTAGTTAAAAAACCCTATTAAACATGATATTGGAAAGGGTAAAATAGGAAGAGTTACTTCTATTTTGAGAATTTCAACTTTATGCTGCTATACTTGCAATTTGCTTCCATTTACTCTTTAGGAAACTGCCCCATAAAAAATACAATGTTCTTATATCTTCGAATTTTCAAACGCTTTTGTTCTTATTTCCGGATCTTTTCCTATTGTTTATTTATAGATTGTGTTCAATCAAATCCTTTTAGTTATATAATTAAGTATACTTGTATGTCAATAATGCAATAATACTGATGCGGTGTGTGCAGTGCTTCTTTCCTAAAACATTGGTGAAGTACATAAAAACTCCCATATACCTTTTGAATTCGGCATTTGATTCATATCAGGTTAGCTCCTTGCACCTTATAGCTACATAATGTACTTAGTTTATTACTCTGTTTTATTGTGATGCTAACTTTCCATAGGGTTTTTCCTCTGTATTATTTAACTATGTTTTTATACTTTTGTTTTTCGAAAGATACGAAACATGTTTTCTGAGGGCTTACACGATCAAATAATGAATCATACGGTTACTCCAAGTGATATGGAATTGTTAAAAGGTATGTTTTACTTTCAATATTTCTTTTTTTTTTTGCGAGGACTTTTACTTTCAATTAATGTATTTACACGATCTATAAAATTTACCCAATTTTGTTTACTTTATTACATCATTTAAGTATATTCTCTCTTTAATGGCATAGTAATTATTCAATTCAAACCCGTGCCTATTACGGATTCATATTATTTTTTTTATCCATATCATACCCTTATGTTTAAGTGAATAATACAACGTATTACATAAGACGTATATATAGTGAGTCCAAATTTTTTTAAGTCCAATGATACATTTGAACAAGCTTTGCATTTTATTTTATTTAATCTTACTTTAAGCTAACTTACAAAATTTGGAAATTCTACGGATGCAGTTTAAGCGCAACGTTATTTTTTTAATATCCATCGGAAAGTTTCCAAATAGCGTTAAAGCTGAATTTATTTTCTTTTAAATGAAACAGCGTTTATTGATTCGTGATAGTGCACAATCCGGCTTTATATAATGTACAATTCTAAATTTAACGTTCTAAATTCATTTTCATTTAATCTAAATTCTACACAGAGATATGTGTTTGTGAGAATATGTTATATGTATTTATGTGTGTATATGTATATGGTGTCATAATGGTGATATAGTTATTATTCTTTTAGGATACGATCCCCAGTATCATCAATATACATGAAAACACAAATTATAAGCACATGTTGTTTATTAACGAGATTTATTATGTGTGTATAGATTTCCGGCAACAAATAATAAAGGCATTGCCTACCCCGTCAGCCACTAATGGGTACTTGGTAACCTCACAGTTTGGCCATTCCTTCGGCCGGATTGGTTTGAAGGTACCCATGTTTCCCGAAAACAAAACGTCAAAGGTATTCCTCCCTTTTTATTATTTGTCATTATGATCCACATTTTAAATTACAAATATTAAAAATAGAAATTAAAATTAAAAGTATATTATGTAAATGTACTGTAATTCTAACTGTTTCTGTTTACCGTACCTACCAGACAATGGAGAAGGCGATGGTCGAGTGGTTCTTTGGTGAAAGAAGGATCCACATTATTGATCCAAACGATGAGCCATTCTGGAATGCTACATTATCTCATTGAATGAGTCTCTGTTAATTATAGATTGTTTCAATTCTCAACTCTAAATTAAGACTACGTACTTGAATGTTACATTAATTACCTCTCAGTATCTACTTTTCTTAGTTATGTCTTTTTAAAATTCCCATCTCTAAATTGTGACTAATTGAATGTTACGTACGATCCGGGCCGGTCCTGAGATGTTGAAGGTCCTGTTCAGTATTAAATAAAGGCCCTAAATTATTAAAAAGTTATATTATATCTGTGTCAATGTTAAAATTAAATCTATATAAAATTTCAAAATTCAAGCTAACTAAGGATTTACATATATATTCAAATACTAAATTAAAATCTATATAAAGTTCCAAAATTCAAGCTAAAATTTAAGTAAGGATTGATAACTCAATTAATTAAGTGAATACATGATAAGAACAGAAAAATAAAATCAACGGGGTGAACCGTTGCCCAGATAATCAACGATAAATAAATACCGTTGCCCAGAGCCAAAAGGCTAAACCAACTTTTATTCCAAGATTGCTTAAGAATGAAGCCTAACAAGGGGTTTAAATACCCATCTACTAACTCTTAAAGTAGGAAACAAAATCCTAGAGATCCTAATCAACTCCAACTAGGAAACAGAATAATAAAGATCCTAATCAACTTCAAATAGGAAAGAAATAATAGAAATCCTAACTAACTCCTAATAGGAAACAAATATTAGAAATCATAATTAACTCCTAATAGGAAACAAATCAGGAAAATTAAAAAGAATAATTATTAATTAAACAGCCCGTAACCAGCCCACGGAGGTAGGCTCAAGCCCGTCCCGCCTTCGGTAAACCCACGGGGGCTTCTTCCCCTCTTCTTCCAAGCCCAGATTCTGCTTCATATCAATACAATAAATTTGTTTGATTCAAAAATGTCAATTTTACAACTCAATTTGAAACTGAGGGAGTATTATATATAACACATGTAGTGAAAATAATAATAACCTTAAAAACACAAAAAGTAAGTATAAAATGTAGTGAAAAACTTATTTTGATTCCTAACAAACAATATCATAACAAAAAAAACAAATTATTAAAAAATTGATATAGTTAACTATAAGGAAATCAAGAATGTAACTTACAAATTAAGTGTATATATGAAGTAACGTAGTATAGTAAAGTAATAAAAACAATACTAATAGGTAAATTTATTATGTGTTCACTTGCAATAAATTATAAGTAATGTTTTAGTAGTAATTGATTTGACTAAAGGTATTTGTACATGTAATGACCAATAGTTTACAAGCAGCTCCTTCAGACTAAGATAATTTCGGATTGAATTCCCTGTGTGTTGGGAAAAAACACTCCGGACTTTCCCGCTTCGTGAAGTTAAGATATGCACTTAGGAAATAAGGTAGCAATGGGAGCACACGATTTAAATTCTCCAATATGGAGATTCTTCCACTATACAAAAGAATAATAGGATTTACAAGAATGTTACAAAATTGTCTCACTCAATGGTGGCTCACTCAAGCTCGAGGATATGAACTTCCCAAGCTATCTCTCTTCTCTCTCAAAGAGACTCTCTAACTTTCTCACTGATTCACTCTTGGCTAGGATGGTTAGGAATGGAGGCTCCTACTCCTATTTATACAACTTCACCTCCATAATGAGTGGTGGAGAGTAGTTCTCTAGAATGATCTACACATGACTACCTATTCTAGAGAATTCCAAGGAATCTCTACACCTCTCCATTCTCTTCCATATGCTTCCATACTCTTTCATAGGCTTCCGGAAGGTTCCACACATCTATAGAATATTCTAGAGGATTCCACACTGTTCCACAAGCTTCTAGAGAGTTCTAGACTTCTCTAGGATTCTCCGGAACGTTCTAGAAAATTCTATACTTATCTAGAAAGCTCTAGAATTTTCTAGAACCTCTCCAATTAAGGAGGGATCCCAACAAATCTCCCCCTCACGACTTAATTGGTGGGGGGTAGTAGCAAACCTGCACCTTGACAGCAATCTTCGAACTTCTTTGTCGGTATTACCTTAATCATCATGTCTGACCAGTTCTCGTCGGTGTGAACCTTGTCAAGATGCAATTTCTTTTCCTCGAGGACTTCTCGGATCCAGTGATACCTTGTGTCAATGTGCTTTGTGCGGGAATGAAATGTTGAGTTTTTCGCCAAGTAAATTGTGCTTTGATTATCACACTTCAACACGTACCTTTCTTGATCTATTCCCAGCTCGAGCAGAATGTTCTTCATCCACAACATCTCCTTGCAAGCTTCAGTAGATGTGATGTACTCTGCCTCTGTGGTGGATAATGCAACACACTTTTGCAGCTTTGATTGCCAGGAAACAGCTCCCCCTGCAAAAGTAGTTAGGTAGCCCGATGTTGATTTCCTTGAATCAATATCACCGGCCAAGTCTGCATCTGTGTATCCTTCTAACACAGGTTTTCCTTTTCCAAAGCATAAAGATATTTTGGAAGTTCCTCGTAAATATCGGAGGATCCATTTGACCGCTACCCAATGTTCATTCCCAAGGTTGGCCAAGAAGCGACTGACGACTCCAACTGCATAGGCGATATATGGTCTTGTGCATATCATTGCATACATGAGACTGCCTACTACCGATGAGTATGGAATCTTCTTCATTTCCTCCATTTCTTTCTCATTTGTTGGACTTTGCTTCGAACTCAACCTGAAGTGTCCAGCAAGTGGTGTGTTTACCGGCTTCGATTTGTTCATGTTGAATCGTTCCAACACTTTCTCAATGTACCTCTCTTGGGATATCCACAACAGTCTCTTCGATCTATCACGAGTTATTCTCATCCCAAGGATTTGTTTAGCCGGTCCCAAATCTTTCATGGCGAAACTTTTGCTTAAATCCTTTTTCAAGGCATCTATCTTTATGCGATCTTGTCCAATGATCAACATATCATCAACATAGAGTAGAAGTATGAGGAAGTCGCCACGTTCATACCTCTTTATGAAGACACAATAATCGTTTTTCGTCTTTGTAAAGTCATGCTCTGCCATGAAGGATTCAAACTTCTTGTACCATTGCCTCGGTGCTTGCTTGAGGCCATATAAACTCTTCATGAGGCGACATACTAGATTTTCCTTACCCGGAACTTTGAAACCCTGGGGCTGCTTCATGTAGATCTCTTCCTCTAGGTCGCCATGAAGGGATGCCGTCTTGACATCGAGTTGTTCAATCTCCAAATCTTGAACTGCTGCTAGGCCAAGGACAACTCGGATGGATGACATCTTTACCACGGGAGAGAATATTTCCTCAAAGTCAATGCCTTTTTCTTGACCAAATCCTTTGACCACCAACCGAGCTTTGTAGCGAGGCTTTGAGCTACTATCTTCAGTCTTGATTCGATACACCCATTTATTCTTCAAGGCTCTTCTCCCTTTTGGTAGCTCCACAAGTTCATAAGTGTGATTCTCATGCAAGGATTGCATCTCTTCTTGCATGGCTTTTCTCCACTCTTCTTTATGAATATCATTGATTGCTTCTTTGTAACTTTGCGGCTCCCCCTCATCCGTGAGTGTAATGTAATCTTCGGTGTTATACTGGATGGATGGTCTTCTCTCCCTAGAGGATCGCCTCGGCTCTGGTGCTGACAGAGAACTAGATTGAGGATCTTCCTGATTTGATTCATCATGAGTCTCTTGGTTGCTTTGCTCATGGTTTTCATCATCATTATCTTGATGTGTGTCATCCTCACGTTGAACTGGAGTAAGTTCGATGTTCTTGCTTCTTCTCAATCTTGGCTTCAATTCTCCGAGTTCTTAATATCTTCAATCGTTTGATCTTCAAAGAAGATGACATCTCTGCTACGAACAACCTTCTTATTGATTGGATCCCATAGCCGATAGCCAAATTCATCCTTGTGTTGAATTTCGGATTAAGATAATTTCGGATTGAATTCCCTGTGTTGTGTACAGTGCCAAGGCCGGCCCTGCGTACGATAGTACCTCTTAGTAGCTTGGAATGTGTTGGATTATTACAAGAAAAATAGGTTTGTGCAATAACGAATTCCATAGTCAAAAGTAATAATTTTATCACCAATTAACATAATTGTGCAACAAAATCACACCCTGGGTCACCAGGTCACTGTTCAAACGAGCACGATAACTTAAAAGCCAAAAATAATAATAAAAAAAGAAAGAAAAACAAAAAAACAAAAACATAAAAGCCACAAAATAACATAGAAGGAAAAGATTTACCGCCAACCCTTACCCTGGATGAAGCTGCAAACCAACTTGCTGCTAAAAAACATCTTTGTATTGCATCTCAGCTAACTGAGTACCTTGCTTATATAAACGGTTGTTCATTACTTAGTCATGTTCTTTTTGTACAATCAAAGACTAAGAAATTCATTTGGGTAATTTGAGTTTGCACCCCATATTTTTGTGCAAATTAGACTTTGCACCCCGTTTAAAAAAAAAAATTTGCATCCCAATCCCATATGAAAGGACAAAATTGTCCCTCCATTAAGAAATTTGTTGGCCTTCAACATATTCCTAAACGAGGGCATTTTTGTCTTTTCATATGAGGTTGAAGTGCAAAAACAAAGAGTTTTAAAAATGGGGTGCAAAGTCCAATTTGGACGATAAAATTGGGTGCAAACTCAAATTACCCCAATTCATTTTGTTGAGAGTCATAATTATTGCCCCCCTAAACTTCTCCCATTTTTTCATTTTTAGATGTTCTCATATTATTGTCGAAAAAATTGCCATCGTATAACTAATCAAGTTTTGATTTCAATAAATATGACACATTTGACTTTTTCCAAAAAAACTGACCCGTCCTTCTCCCCCATGGCCCCAAAACGTGATTCAATTTATTTGCCCTAACCCATCCGTCTCTGCGCTCATCTCTGCGTCTCCCATCCCCTGCGCCTCTTCTCTTCCATCACTTTGTCTCTTCTCTTTTCATCAGCTCCCAGGTTTAATTTACGAAAAAAGCCGCCGCCAATAGCTGATCTCTCATCTCATAGCTCCATCTCCGCCTGCATCTTCAATGCCGCTGCATCTCCGCCTACATCATCGTCGCCGCCTCCGATCGACTCCCACTCCACCACTAACATCTCTTATTCTACTCTTTTTGTCTAATTGCGGCGTACATGGATTTTGCGACTACGGCGGTGATGCGGGCGGTGTAAGGCGCCGAGGTTTGGTTTGGCGGAGTAAAGGGGGTTGGGGAG